AGGGTGATGAAACTGATGGAATACCTGGTGTATCTGAATGTCTTAGGGGGGACTGGTATGTGGTGAAGATCTTGCAGTTGAATTTGCAGTAAGTACATAGAAAACAAGCAAAATGAGAAAAAATACAAGACGATCATGAACTTCTGGGGGGAATGCTGTCAAGGAAAGAAAAAGCAATCATAGTTTATAACATGGCTCAGCTGTGACTAGTGTTTATTCAGTCCTAATAATATAAACACTGAATATTAACATGGTCAAAATAAATAACTGCACTGGGGGAAAAGGGGTGCCTTCCATAGTGACACTTTCTATAGAGAATGCCTAAAACTGATATGTCTACCATTAGTAGTAAGTAGATAGGGATAGAAGTTAAATACCAAAATAATCATTTACCAGAGGTGAAACGGTTGCTTCTGGGAGGGAAAAAACAGGGAACTACTCTATTTTGTGGTAGTAGGTCGAGTAGGAACTACTCGATTTTGAAGTCCATGAGCTTCAGCCTCAAGACTAGGATTTTTCTCAATCATGGGATTAAGAGTTGCAAGACCTGGATTCTAGCTCCTGCTCCACCATTAATCAACTGTGTGATCTCAAGCAAGTTCTTTCCCTTCTCAGTGCCTGTTTCCAGGTATGAAAAAGAGAGGGAGTTTGCCCAGATGACAACTAAGCATCCTTTATATTTTGGCAGCCTACGTTGGATGGGGGGAGTCAACAGGAAAAGGAAATCTATGAATGTGGTGCAATAGTAAACACAATTCTCCTCCAAGCCTCAATCTCTTCATCTGTAAAACAGGAATCACTGACATACTTCACATGGTGCTGAGTATGTAAGATGGTGTATGAAAACTGCTTAACACTCACACAGACATATAGTAAGTGGTCAATAAACATGAGCCCTTATTCATTTTGATTACTCATATGCTTAGAGTTCTAGCATGCTTGGATTCCTGAAAGCTTCCACTTCTGGTAAGGTGAAAGCACCATGTTTGCAGGAAGAATGATCAAAGCAGAAGAAAGGGAGTCAAACAAAATTACTGTCTAACAGGAATATGTGCTGTTGCCCTTTATTGGTTTTACATACGAGTTAGTTTACGAATACTTTCAGGAGCATGTAAGTGTGAAATTGGAAAGCTTCACTGCAGGACTGCCACGACCCACCGCACTGGTGATATAAAAGGGGGAGGAGGAGGGAATGGGGTGGGCCAGAGAAAGAGAGCAAAGGCCAGAGGCAGAACAGAAAGGAAGCTGAGCCAAGGTATGGAAGGACAAAAAGATACTGGGCTGGGGAGAAAACTGAATTTAAAGTTCGAAGCTCATTCATCCAGATTTATTGTTGAACACACACTCTTGACTTTTTAAACATGCTACCCCACTCTCCCATGTCTGTACTTTTGCTCAAGCCATTTCCTGTGTGTGCAATTCCCATTCCTAGCCACAGACACTGCTCAAGGCCTGCCTAGCTTTCAGGCTAAGCTTGAATTTTATTTTCTTTCAGAAGAAATTGTGAAGCATTCCATAGTTCATAAGAATGTAGACTTTAGAATCAAGTTGGGTGAACTTGAGGAAAGTGTCTTAACCTCTCTAAGCCTTAGTTTCCCAATTTGTAAAATGTAAATATCAAATGAACTCATAGGGTTGCAAACAAATAATGAGAGAATGCACATGATGAGCTTGAGTATGTCAGCTGCTCAACAAATGTCAGCTGCTATTACATCCTGTCACCCACATTCCAGTCCCACTTTCTCCATGCCTCAGGTGTAGTTCCTGTTACACTGAACTGGAATTATTGCAAGCGTGGCTGTCCATCCCCATTGCCCCACAGGGAAGGAATCGTGCTCTTATTTACCTCAAAATCCCTGAAAACAGCGCAGGACACTACCGAACATGGCAATCAATGCTCAATATATGTCATTTGGATTGAATGCAATGACTACGACAATCCTCAAGCTGATGACTATTTACAATTTCAAGTACAAGAAAAATCATCTCCAACAACTGACTACAGATGACCAGATGATCACGGCCAGGTTCCCTGTATTGTCTGGGATGAGTAGAGTTCCCCCAGAACCCATTCTGTGGTGGGGAACCTTTGCTCCAAAGAAAATGAAAACAGTAATAAAAGACTAATTTCCTGAAACTGTTCTGGTCTTTTAGGATTTGGCATTCATACCAACAGCCAAGGGCAGGGAGCAGACAGATGGCAGCAGCAGTGACAATGGAAAGGTCTTCATAGACCAGGCACCCCCCACCAAGTCCAGTCCCATGGTACATACCTCACTGTACGGCACAGTGAATGAGAACAGGGACACCGAGCTTAGAATCCTAGGTCATCCATTACCAGCTGTGCGACCTTTGGCAAGTTACTTAACCTCTGTTTCTGGATTTCCTCAAAATGAAGATTACAATAGTACCTACTTCATAGGGTTATTTTATAAGGGTTCAGTAAGTAAATATGCATAAAGTGCTTAGCAATATAAAGTGCTACTTGTGTTAATACAGGACTCCTCAAAACCATCCTCTGAAGTGGATATTATTACTTAACAGGTAAGGAAACTGAGGTTCAGAGATTAAGTTGCTCAAGGTCATACAGCTGGTTAAGCAGCAAAGCTAGATTCAAATGCTGATCCCAAAGTTTCTGCGTTATGCTGCCCATGTGTCATACTGCACCTCATTAACCACTCAAATGCTTACTAAAAGAATTGATGGTGAAAAAAAGCGATTGTTGACTATCTGCAGGGACTTGCTAACCTGGGGTCACTGGTAGCTTGTTCCCTACATGTATGGCTTCCCTAGTTGGCTCTGGAGTATCGCCTATTTTAACCCCTTGCCCATCCACACCATTGACATACAGAGCAGTGATGCCAACAGATTTGCACATCAGCCTGTAGAAAACCAGAGCACACTGCTCAATCTCCATCTTCTGAGCAACAGGGGAGGGAATCTTTAAGATTCTGATCACTGGTCTTCCCGTATCAGTAAAGTGAGTGTTATAGATCTGTATCTTTCAGGAAACTGAACAAACATCAATTAGAGAAAATGGGAAGAGAGAAGTAACTAGGCCCCTATGCTGCATCATATTTCCCTCACTTCCTAGGGATCCTCCCAAACTTATATATCCTTTTACATTAATAATCACAATTATTCACAATAAATATCTCAGTAAACATTCAAGTTCCTAAAGCTAATATATTACTCACCATAATATTATGTCCAAATAGAGTAAGCTGATGCCCATGTTTCTAGTTCATTCCATCTAGTGCCTTCTTTTTAAAAGCAGGAGAGGCACTTTAGCTTTATCAAAGGTGGGGCTCAGAGTGTCTCTGAACACTAGTCAAGAGCAGAAATTGGTTTCATCCCTGCGTCTGCCCAAAGACTGCAAAGCCCAGTTTTGGCTGTTACAGATTGCTGGTTGGAGCTGAGCAGGGAGTCTGAAGTAGGTGACACAGAACAGGTGTGTTCTTCAATCCAGTGACTCCACAGGTCTTGACATAAAAAGGTCCACCATCACCCAGAGAGCGGCAAGATGTAGGACGGCCCTCTCTCCATCTACCTTTTTAGGAACCAGTTCAATGGTTCCAACCCTTCCTCCTTACTTCACAGGTGGTAAGAAAGGCAGGCAGGAATAAAGTGATCTGGAAAAACATAGATAAGTGTTCCCTCCAAAGGCTCTCATGTGGCTTATCAGAGGTACAATCAGCTCCATCAAGACCCCTCACTATTTACGTACTCAACGGTTCCTTCCTTTTTAGACCTATTTTGCTCACGACCATGTCATTTCACAGGAAAAGCAGCTACATCCTTTGCTACTAGCTCTCACATCGCTGGTCAGCCCCTCAACTACATTAGGGACTGGGCTCTTCCAGAACAACTGTAGAAGACACAGCAGCTCAGGAGCTTGAAAGTTAAGGCGACCGAAATACAGAAAAACAGTTGGGCTAGCAGTTACCCTACCAAGGAGGAGTAATCAGAAGGGGCTTGTGGGTGCCGGCAATGCTATTTCATGTAGATGCTGGTTACGTGGATGCATTCACTTTAAGAAAACTACTTCTACAATTAAGCTTTGTACACTTTTCTGTATGAATATTACAATAAAAATTAAAAAAAAACAATGACTCACCTCTCTACCACCCAAAGCATACAGCAGCCCTTCCCAATGGCTCTACCACAACTGAGGTACAAACATGCCTGGTCAGTCACCCAAGGCAGCAGGCAGCCTAATCAGTGCATACCCCTGTTCCCAGGGTATTATGTAAATACTGTCGATTTTTTGGTAAGACTGGGAAGTACTGCTCTAGAGCACCAAATAAACATCCTCCTCAATCACACAAGTCTACCTTAAGGTTTTTCCTACCTAAGGTCAACACTATTTACTTAATCCTTAGTTAGACTGTTTTATTATCTCCAACAAGGACAGAAAACACTACATACATTCAAAGGTCAATGCTCCTACACTGCTCTTTACAAAACTTGAGATGTCTTTGACAGCATTCCATATCTCACTCTTTCTGACAAGCACACACAGACTACCCACCCTTCCTCCCCAACTTCCTTCCCCCATAATCACCAAAGGGAAAACCTTACATTTCAATCCTTTATGAAGTCAATGGATATAACGCAGACTACATGCTGTTTTTCTCTTTGAAAGTTTATTGTTATTAAAAAAAACACTCTACACTTTTTACATTCACCTCTCAGAACATTTAATGGTACCAGTTAATGATGTTATATAAAAAGCCCACCAGCTGCTTGAAATGGCTTTAAATTTTTTCTGGTATTAAAGTAGTTGAACTCTTTGGAAAAATTGGTGTAACATTAAGTACCAAGATTTCAAATCCCCAGATTAGAAACAAGATTTTTAAGTCAGGAGGAATTTTAATAAAAATTCAAGGCTAAAAGGAAATGTTAATAGAAAAACAAAAATACAGTTAAAAAATAGGATTCCCCCCCTCCCCCAACCCCTTAGGTAAAAAAATGCAACCAGCCCCACCCCACCCCCAATATTTCTCTTAGAAAAGTCACCTAATCCTGTACAGTGTCTCACACACAAATACAAACAGCTTGATTCGCAAATCAGCCTCTGGGATCCTACACTAGCCCATTAGAAGTTTTTTAAAAAATTAAGTTAGGTAGTTAGACATCCATAAATACTGGTATCCAAATGAATGAAAACATCCTGGCTTTGGTACAGCTACTGAAACCTGGAAATTGTTCAAGAGGATACTGGCTTAGGGACAGAGGGGGATGCACGCAAAAACCCCAAAGCAGAGGTAAAATAAATATGGGGACACATCCACAGCAAACACTGTGCATTAATACTGAGGCAGATGCCTCAAACAGAACACATGGATAGGTTCTTGACCAGAGTAACACACATGACATACAGGTTCTTAATCAGAGTAACACACATACAGGTTCTTGATCAAATTAACACATGTATAGGTTCTTGTTCCAAATTGTCTGGACCAATTTTTTCTAAGTATCAATTGCAGGAAATAGCCTAAATTTGGGAATTCATCTGCTGAGCCAGGGCCTAGAGAGATAAAGACCTTTTGGAATGAGAATGGCCATGTGGGCTAAAAGCCAGCCCCTTATCCTAGGGTTCTCCAAGTGTTTTGGCCTCTGGTTCACTTGTGCCCATCACAAAAGCATCTCCATCTCCTGACAGGGGAGCTCTTTGACCCCTGGTTATCACAAGCACCCATCAGAGGGACTGAACTGATTTTTCATTACTGGGGTAACTAGATAAAAAATTAAATCTACTGGGATTAGGAATTCATTCATTGTGCTGTGTGTCTCAAGTCTCTTCATATTCCCCCCATTTTCACTACATAATGATTATTGCTGAGGACACTGAGGAGCAGAAGGCAGTGATGGGACCGAGACCAGGCTAAAGTGTGGCTTCAAACACCCTCAAATGTGCAGAAGAGAGGCCAAAGTGCTCATTCCCTGGTCTTCAGATAAACAGTGACTTCATAAAAGCACGAAGGTACCACCAGACAGGGCAAGTAAAAAAGGCAACTTATTGCTGCTTTGATGCTGACCCCACCAATAGCTATCAACACAATCCTTTCTGGAAAAAAAAAATAAACTTAGATGTACTATTAGGAAGACAAGACAATCATTTAAAAAGAAAAACTACCTTCAATGACAACACACACTAAATATGTTCATGTAAATTTCCATCAGAGCACACAAATGAAAAACAATAGCTACCTGATATTCTGAGATGTTACCCAGACCACAGTGGCAATCCAAGCAAGGGAGGTCTCCCTCACAGCACAGGCCACCAAGAAGAAATAGAGGTGAAGCCCCTGCTTACTGTGGACTTGATTCACTATAGTAAACATAATACTGGGGGCCCCATGGGTAGAGAAGAAACACAAAATACCTGACAACTTTTAATAATCAATTATCACTTGTACTGTTCTCTCAATGAGACTCCCAACACCAGAAAAAAAATGAGAGAAAAAAATGGGTTATAAATTAAAATAAAAATACATCTATACAGTCACCACTGAGTCAGTAGGTTTGGTCTCTGTTGAGGCCAGGACTTCAAAGGTGATTTACTTGTCATCACAGCCCCACTTGCTTTGGGACAGGTACATCAAGAGACCACAGAAAGAGAATCACTTGAGACCAAGGAATTACTTACAAAGATTTCCTAGGATGTATAAGGTCTACTGATTTCCAATAGAGTTACTCCACCCCCAAACTCTTTAAACATCTTTAGGTGACAACTAGAATATAGGAAACCCCATCACCCAATGAATCATTTCTCCACTTGGGGGCACAAGGGAAAGGGAGCAGGGAGGGCAGGGAAGGCTGTTTCATCAGTACACATTAGGAAGAGTGTTCTAAGTTTAGTGGCAGCGACAGCAGAGCTTTCTTTGTCTTCGACTGAGGCCAGATCCCTGGGAGGCTGGGAGTGCTGACAAGGGCCCGTGAGTTGGGAATGGCCAACGGGCAATAATGGCATCAGCAACAAGAGTGCAACTTGCATTGCGAGTGAGAGTCTAGATCACTGGCTATTGCACTATCAATCTCAGTCCCTTCCTCCAATAGATAACACAGATAACCAGCCCATGGCGGGAACCACTTAATCTCCTTGGGAGCAGGGGAGAGAAATAACTTAGAAATGAAAACTCCTGAAATGGCCACCTCATGTTCCAGCCTGAACTTCAACAAATGTGTCTGAATAAACCACTTGTATTAAATAACTTAAAATACGGTATCTTCAGCAAGTATGAATCTAAAATGCCCCCTCCCCCAGCCCCATTTACTTCAGTACACGTTGTCTCCCAGGCAGATGTTTCTGTGTTTCAGCCAGTGGGATGGATGGCATAGACCAGATGTTACATGAGGCATTTATTTCCCCGAGAAGGCTGAGAGCCAGGAGAATTAATTTCCGTCTGCTAGGACCTGTGCCCCATGCATGTGGGGAAACAGTGAAATGGGCTCAACAAGGGTTGAGAAGCTACATGATCCACTAATCAGCTTTAAAACCTGAAAATGCATTGTAGAGTGTATCCCTTCCTGCTCCTTTTCATGGTTGAAAGACCTAAAGATAATTAATAAAAACAGATGTCCCTTCAAACTCAAAGGATGTCCCAAAAAAGGAGAGACAAAGTAAAAGCAAAATATTAAGAAATAAGTAAATCTAACTCCCACTACTCCCAAAAGTAAGAGTCTCATGGTGAGCGATGGCTGGAAGAAGTTGAGGCAGGAAAGAATGACACAAAGATGAAGTGGTTGGCCACAAAAGTGCCTTGCAGGATCCACAACAGTGTTCTCCATTTTCCAAGGCCAAGGAGCAATTCCCAAGTTAAAAACTTTCTGTTAAGAAAAAAACAAAACAAAAAAACACTCCAGAAAAAGGGTCAAGGGAAGAACACTGTAGAAAGTCAAGCCGCTGACCTCCGGCGGATCACAAAGAGCCCACGCTGAAGCTGACCCAAGTAAATCCTCATCTTGGTGCTGTCACTTGTCTTCCTCACCCAGATCTGTGGGGAGAAGGAAAGGGAACAAGATGAGAGGTGAATATTGAGGAGCAAATTTTCCAGAGTATCAAAATATCTGCATGAGTTAGGTATGGGCACACCACCAGCAATCTCTTCCTGTCCCCTTGTACAGCCTCCCAAGCACCTCGTTGACCTTCAGCCCTCCCAAGGGCACGTCCCTATGGTAGAGAGCAGGCATCAGCCCTTAAACTCCCTTCTCCAAAGAATTCTCACTCACCTTTTAGAAAATGGAAAGCAGAGTGATCTGAGGGTTTTGCCCTGATCTTAAGGACTTTTTGATTTGGTTTGATTATAGCTTTAAAACATTCAAGATACATACAGTCATCATAAACTTTCAATCAAAATTTGGAAATACTTTCCTTGCCCAAATGGACTTCCATATTATAGCCTTTCAATATTCTAGTTCCTTGGCAATTATGGCTAATGGTCATCACAGGAAAAGTAGGCAAAAATAATCAGAAGACCCACGAGTGAGCTAAGGCCCAATTAGGATCATGAGTAGGTTAAATTAGCTTAAGACAGTCCTTCCCTCCTGACCATATCGTTTTCCCACAGATGACATCGGATGTCTGGCCTTTTACAGGGCAGGTGCATTCTTCTGCAGAACCGGGAATGAACTCTTACAGCAGAGGAACTACCCAAGCTGACAAGTGTGCTCAGGAAATGGCATAGCTGTAGCTGGGGATGAGGAGGAGATGCCTCTGCAGCCACCTGATACCTGGGTGAGGGTTACTGTGTGCCAGACACTGCTTCATCCTTCAGAATCACCCTTGGAACCACTATGATCACTCCCATTTTACAGAAGAGCAAGGCTAAGTCCGCTTGCCCGATGTGAATCCTGGCACCTGACATCAAAGCTCCTTGCTCTTCTCCATTAAATGAGCCCCTGCCTCTTCTCACCCATTCTTCCATCTCTTTAATTAACATGTAGTTAGATGGAGCCAAAAGCATACTTCTTTTCAAGATCTGCATCCCACACACATACATAAGTACAAGTTTACAGATGTGTCTCCTCCCTCCATTAGGTTTTCCGGTTTTAAAAACCTTTATTCTCAGTTTCTTCTCAATTTAACATGATTAGTTAGCAACAGAGACTTTTAAAGTCAAATTCACTGATTGAAAAATAAAAATAAAATTAAACACCTCACATAAAGCCGAGCCCCTAAAGGATCCTGTAGAAGCATTTTTAAACTGAAAAGGGACCCCAAGGAAGGCTGGCATGGTGAGTGACTAACATGCTCAGACCCCCAAATCTGTCCAGAGTCAGCTTAATTACATAAGGGTCAAGTAGTGCTAGTGTCACTTAGGATTTGACCTGAAAAATGAGAGAGGGTACTTCCAAAAAGTGAGAAGTGCGTCCATTACCAGAGTCGCATGCCTCTGATACACTGAGGCCTCTCCTCTCCAGGAGACACATTCTCAGTGTCACCACCACCTTGTCAGACCTCACTGACCCTCTACTATGTCATAGGGTGGCGGTCTTCAACAAAGAGGGAAAAATCTAACTTGCATTTCTATTTTCCTGAAAAATGCTGAGATGTCACAGAGAATAATGCACTGTTCTGAAGTCAGGTTGGGTACTAGAAAGCCACGCCTGCTTTGTATAGCAGCCCACACAGCCAGGCCTAAGTGCTCTGTTGTGAAATCACAGTGCCTCTTGCTGAGGAATAGCAGGTTCTCTATCAGGTGTCCTTCTTTGGTTCTGACTTGGTCTGGGGTGACACACAAATTTCAGAGTCTGGAGAAAAATGATGTTCATTTATCTGGAAGGCTCTCCCTAACTTCTAAGTAAACAATCAATTTGCAAACTAGTCACATTTGAGGGCATTTTCAGTTCAGGAAGCGGGGAGAATAGAAGAGGCTTAAGTGATTTCATAGTCCAGTTTCATTAGATTTACTGTGTATTGGCACGAATAAGTTACAGAGGGTAGACACATAAAATCAATTTCTTCGCAGACTTTTGTGGACTGATAAAAGATCAAGCCAATCCATCTATTAGTTTTTAACTTTTTTTATCGCAGACATTTGTGGACTGATAAAAAATCAAGCCAATCCATCTATTAAAGTTTTTAACTTTTTTTTAAATGACTAACAACACAAGTTCCACATTGCTGACATCTGCCTTAATGAAGGGCCAGTCAGAGACCTCAAAGGCTAGTCACATCATCCTTGAGCATTACCCTCTGGGCTGACTTTAGAACCAGTCCCCAGCCCCCAGGAGTGACTCAAGGAAACCAGTACCTAAGGGCATGGGCCTTGTAGCTCACTGCTCAGAGGAACAACAGGACATGTCAGGCTGGGAAGGCAGCAGGCAAGTCATAGTGTATGCCTCAGATTAGGCCAGCACCATTTACTGAGCACTTACTGGGTGCCAGGTGCCTCATTAAATCCCCACAGGAACAACTCTATTAGTACACGTGAAAGCTCTAGAGAATAACAAAACAAAGATGCAGTGTGCTCCACAGGCAAGTCTCATTCGTTAAAAGCAGCAGGATCTGAATGCACAACATCACAGCCTCGCCTTCTGCTCTTCCCTGTAGCCTATCTCAGTGGTTCCCATCTCAATTACCATCCGTAGAGGTTGCAAATACCATAAGGAATACACAAGTCCACACTGACTGTAGTCAAGCAAAGTAAGGGATTTTTCAAGGGTGATTTTGACGATGTGCAGTTTCTGCCTGAAAAGTGGTGACTTTAGAATCTAACCCATAGATAATACATGACCCCTCTGCACTTTCTTGGTAGAATCGGCAGTGCAGGTCTTTCCCAAAGGGTGAGGGAATTGGGTCCCTACCTCATTGGCTCCGACTGAGCTGATCACACAGCTCAGTTTCTGGTTGTCCTTGGACTCCAAGTAGATGGCTTGGCTCTTGTGGTACCTGCCAAAAACAGGACACAGGTGCACGCATACTTTCAACCACTTTATTGAGGTATGACTGACATGTAAAAAGCTGTACACATCTGGTTTGTACTTGATGAATCTAGGGGTAACTTTACACCCATGAAACCATCACCACCATGAAGGCCACAAACATGTACCTTGTCCCAAAGTCTCCTCCATTCTCTTTATTATAACCTTTTTTTCTGTTTTTTTTTTTTTGTGGTAAGAATACTTAACATAAGATATACCCTCAACAAATTTTAAGTACGCAATAGTTACTGTTAAAGGTACAAATTTTAAGAAAGGAAGGAAAGGGAAGAGAAAAAAATGCCACCACATTAATAAACAAACATTATAATTACAAGAGTTTTAACTTATATTTGAGGAAGTCTGGATTTCAGGTTTAGTTTAAAGGCTCCCATCCTTGGATTAGATGACCTTGTAATCTTCTAAATCTAGAATTTATTATTTCTTGGTCCCTCTGTCAAGAGGAAAAAGGGGACCAGTGAAAGGGCTGGAAAACTAACTCTGTATTTATCTTTTTATTTGGACTATAGGACCCGATCAAAAAGAACATTATAATTTTTCAAGTAAAACCTTTGTCTCCACTTCCTGCCCTCACCCCAAACACTGAACATGGTTGAGAACAGATGGGCCTGAACAGTTGTTATTTATTTTCTATGTACCCAAGTAAGTCATTATCAAGAAGGAAGGTCAAATTCAGCCCTTATTTTGGTCACTAATTCAAGAAATACAAGTTAATCACTTACTGATTACCACTGACTGTGCTGGACTGGATGCGGACAGTGAGCAAGACCACAGGTCCCTGCCGTCACAGAGCTTCAAATACAGTGACAGTGAAGAGCATTAAATAATCACACCTGGCAAGCACAAGTAGGTGAAGTTCTGAGTGTCAAGATGTGCACCAAAGGGTATCTCGTTTGGCCCGGTCAGTCTGGAGAACTGCTCTGAATGGAGTGGACCAGACAGACACTCCCCTTTCAGCCCCTGTGTCTATTTTCTTGGTTTACAGTACAGGACCACCTTCAACTTCTACAAATTCAGGGACAAGGCCAAGGATGAAAGTGAGGAAGCCAGGGCCAAAGCTCAATGAGACAACAGCAGATGCCACAGGACGAAGGAGCAGCTGCCAGATTATGAAAGTTGGAAACATCAGCTGAGTAGCTGCTGGCAGCCCTGGCCTGTGCCAGCCCCGGTTCAGTCAAGAACATAACCTTTGGTTCATTCTGACTGCACAGGTCTGGCTAAACAGACGTACTAACTCATGTAAATTCCACCGAAACACATCTCCCAGCAAAGCACTGTATCCTACCATATTCTGTGGAGGAAGAAGGCAGACGCTGTCTGCTGGCATAATGAAGTACCCTGCTGCCAAGGTAACACCGCGGAAGACATACTTCACTCCCACAATTAGCTTTCCCCAATCTAGGTTCAAAGTACTCTTTAACCTGCTACTTAGGAGCTAAAACCTCAGGTTTCCAAGTCAATTTACCTTCCAAAGCACTGTTAAAAGTAATCAAATCATAAATACAATTACAACTGAGATTGGTTTACACCCAGATTTCAAGTTGCTTTTGGCCAGAGATTAGTTGGTAAACTGGGTCAGGGGACCTTCATTTTGCTGAATATGTAATATCACAAGATCTGAATTATACAATGCATGAGGAAAGGCTGAATTAGTTCACAGAAAAACTCAAACTCAAATTTTCCTCCCACATCTAAGCCATACCATAAGTCCTACGTGTACAAAGTAATGTCTTGAGTAACGGTCAGAATGAAAATATGGTGGTGCTGGGGACATTCATAGATATTGTATGATGACTGTCAGCTATAAAAGAGATAAATACACAAAACAACATGCAACTAGCCTCAAGTCATCCTGATACTACTTGCTAAATACTGTAATAAAGAAAAATCATAGGTGTCGTGTAGAAGTACATTACTAGTGTGGAAACATGCTCAGTAGACAACTAAAGGGAGGAAAAATAACTATGCCCATTATGCTTATAATAAAACATACATGTTACATGTGTATCATATATACCCACACAGAAAAAACTGGATAAATTTATATATTAAAATGTACATTAAATGTGTATTAAATTTTATAAAAATATGAAATGACAATTAGAGGTGGTATTCCTTTTACTGCATATCTTTTTTTCCAACAAATACTACTTATATTAAAAAGCATTTTCTTATAAATCACAGTACTGAAAAATATCCATATAATAAAGATGGGACAAAAACAAAACTTAATGTACCAAATATCTTAATGTCTGTTAAAGACAACAGGTAATTAACTCTGGAAGTCTCATCAAGCAACTCTTGTAAGATGTGTTGCATTTTCTTTCCAATGTGCTCAGAAACCAAACCCCAACACACCTGACTGGCTTTAAAGTGACATCTGGAATTAAGCATGCAATCTGCTCTATTACCCCTGAATGGTCTGCAACTTGAGCATCTGGCCACCTCCCCAATTTGCCTGCCTTGGAACCCCCAAATGGTGGTGGTTGGAATGTCTACCACTGGTCATTATTTGCTCCACGGGGAACTCTTGCTAGTGTCCCACTCTAAGCCAAGTGGTTGCCAGGTCTCCTGGACACAGTCTCTGGGGCCTCCAGAGATTTTCACATACCGCACAATGGTCTTGAGAACCCACTATCCTTGGATATCCAATCTATGAAATTATCTGAATTCTTTAAAAAAAAAAATGACTTCTGAAATTAAAGTGCTCATTTGAAGGGGAGGGGGTTTCAAGATGAAACAAAACCAAAAAGCTTGTCAACCTTAACCTACAAATTTACTTTTCATAACTCAAAATATATTTAGACAGTTTAAAAAATGTTAAAAAGCAACATCAATAGAGCTAAATTAGTAAAAATGTACATTATCACTTTTTTGTCAATTAGCCTGTTTTATAGAAGGCAACTCATCTCTGCTGAAAAAATACTTTAAACAGCCTCAGAGAACAAGCCCCAAATGTCAAATTCATTTTATTACTTTATTACTAATGGAAATCCTGACCTGGGAATCCTTACAATTGAGCTTTTAAAGCTTTGTTTGCCTCTACTATTAAACCCACTGAACTCCAGTCACCACTCCTATCATGGAAGAAAGCAATTTCTTTAGAAGATGGGTCAAAGAATGGGGCAGGAAGGGTTATAATTAATTTAATTTTGTGTCCTAGCGGGAATCCTGCTGTTAATGTGTCTCTTCCCAAATGCCACATTAGTTTTGAAACCTCAGCAAGTCCCAATTAGAGTTGTAAAAATTCACTGTTTTAACAGTCTTTTGTGTCAAAGCCTGGAGGGTTAAAGCCAACTGAACAAGTGGGTGACTTCATATTTGATTAACATTAGCAGCCCCAGATTTAAAATGAGGAGAGAGAAAAACCAGTCCACCAGCACCATCAGTTAGTTACTTGAAAATATCAGCTACTCTCGCAGTACTTTTTAAGGGTCATTAGTCCAAATCAAAATGTGAAGGAAACTTGGAGCAGGATATAAAATGCCTTAGAAACAGTAGAAGACGAAGGCAAAAGAGAGATGTTTATCCTTCAAACGGAGATGTAACTTGGTCGTGCTCATGCCAAGTGGGAAGCCTGCCTGGATCACACTTATTTTGCTGACATCATTTAAACGCAATGAAACATGTTTTGCCAGAATAATTGTTTGACCAAAATACTCCACACCCCTGGAAAGAGCATAAAACAATTGAGGTGACCTCTTAGCCACAGGACATGATGGCTAAAAAGGAAGGGAAAACGAAGACTCCGAACTGACAAGGACACAAAGCCAAACATCATGCACTGAGACCTGAGGCCGAGGTTATGCACGGGTGAAAGCACTGGCCAGGACCCCATGAACACCCCCAAACATAGGGAAGGGAAGGACCCGACTTCTGACCAACATGTCAGGAACTCTGACTGCCAAGGCCAAAGAAGAGAACATACAAATTACAGAAGAAAACAAGAGTCTCAATATTTAACAACAGAATAAGTAATTTAAAATTGAAAAAATATAATGCTCCCAGAGACCTTATTTTTAAAACTTCTGCCATTTTGAGACAGTGAAATACCTTCAAAAGACTTACGAGGCCCAACATCAAACCTGATCACTCTGTTGACGTTATGAAACACCAGTCACAGTGGATCATTTCTTTAGGAAAAACAGAATTTTATTTTACCCCATTTTCACTCTCATGACAGCTCTCATAAAGTGGAAGAATTAAGCCTCAGAAGGGGAAGATCCAAAGCAATGCAATTTACAAAATGAACATCACTTGAAATATCACATGGCTTTAAGACCCATAGATCCGTAAAAATGCTAGTGATAAATCTCATCATTTCTGAAGACGGTTCTTATGTGTGGGCTTGATCTTTAAAGGTTATTTGGTTTTCATTATTAGAGACATTTTTCATCTGATTTTGCTCCCTAGTGCGTTGAGCTGTTAGGGCCTGCCACCTAGTGGTAGTATGTTCTCATAAGCAATGTTAAGGATCAACAAAACTGGCCTTTTCAAAAAAAGCCAAAAAAGAGCCAAATGAGAGGCACAGAAGTCACTAAGGCTTACAAAGAAAGCAAACCTCCATCAGCTACTGGATAATTAGCTCACTGTAGCCTAACAAGTGGAACCGATTTATTGCAGGCATGACTAGACCTCTAAGCATTTTTGTCAATTTCAGAAGTACAGTGTTATAAGGTAATCAACTAACACAATGTAGAGTTTTATTTAAGAAAGTGCAAAAGATAGAAAATATCCCTTACTCAAATTTTGGAACTCTGGGTTAAATTAAGTATGCTGAAACTCAAAATCATCACTATATAGCCATTATAAATTATAATTAAGAGCATACGATAACCCTGAAAAATATTGTCCACATAACCAAAGTGGAAAGGCAGAACGCAAATGTGTGTCCACCAATCTACAGAGGAGTAAAAGTACATCTGCATCTGGATGACAAATAGAGAATGCATCAGAACTAAAACAGCGCGGAAAGGTGCCAGACCTGGGGGGACCTAGTACCCAGCAGAAAGCCTAGCCACAGAGCAGAAAGGGGATGTTCATTCAACACAACAAACATATGAGCTTTTAAGGTACTTCATATTGTTTTGCCATTTCCTTCCAATGAAAATACTCATGGTCTGAAAGTTTCCAACTGTCTTCAATCCAAACTAGTAATGTTTTAGAATACAACTCCCCCAAACATGTTTCCTACAACACTCATGTAGCAAGATGTGTATGGAAAGGGTCAAACAAATAACACCTCCTGACATCTTAGCAATTCACAGCATGCATCAGCATGTCAGAGGAACTAGAGTGTGATAATGAAGAGACCCATTCATCTTAACGTGCGTGTCCCCCAAATCATCTGACCACAAAATCCTTTTTTCCATAGAACACCTATTAATTTGAGCAGAGTTAAGAGGAGGCAGGGGACATAAACCCTGGCACCAGTCTGTTACCGGGGCACCACAAAAGATTAAAACCTGCAAATTATTGTATGGTAACAGTAGAGAGAGAGAAGGGGGTCTGCCATCAGAAGAACACATTTTTGGAAAACAGTGCCTTCAGAGATCTAACAAGTAGTATATACATCAAATGACTCCTGATACGCTTTTAAATGTTATCCCACTTTAAGTACTATAGAAGTTCAACAGTAGCCATGCTCTGAATTGATAACTATAGGTAGTCCCAGCCCTCTTTCTAGGTGGTTCTTTTGAGACTCTTACAAGTAAACCGTGTTTTGCCCTAACATACCATCTTTTATCATAGTACAGTTTGCCATCTTCTATCCGTGCTTCAAATCTCTGGGCTGGAGACTCTACAGGAGTGGCAGGCAAGTGTTCAGGAGAAGATGGGGATGCTGGAGGAACCAGAGAGAGAGTTCAATGACTAAGCATGTAACAAATATGTGAATCCACCAGTTAATATGCTTTAACTGAAATGCTATGAAAAGGTGGTAATAATCATGATCAGGTCCCTACAGTTGTAATAAATGGGAATTTAACAAAATGTCTGGATATTACATTTACCTTGATCCTCAAGGCAAACCTTTAAGTTAGGCATGGCAAAGATTAATCTCACTGCCAGGAGAAAACCAGAGGTGCAGGCAGAGTAAAGGATTTGTGTAAGGTCACTTAGAGTAGATAGAACTAAAACCCCAGGGATCATCAGAAGCCCAAAAGGGCAAAAAATAGGAATATCTCTTTAAATGTAAAAATGAAGTCTTTTCTGTTATTACTCGGTAGAATTGGCTACTGGGTATATGTAAGAGTCAAACTGATGTAGTGCTAATAATAACTACAGTGGGTTCAAATGATCTAAGTTCACAGTTACTCACATAACTCCCTTCCCATCTTGCTTTCAGAAACTCAGAACCTCTCTGTGGACAACGGTGGTTCTCAGGAGGAAATTATTTAGAGAACGAATAATTCTGTTGTCTTCCACAGGACTCGGTGAGTAGAGGGATGTGTGAATCAGAATTCCATTTTGCAGCCTAGCACTGACTCTAGAGTCCTGCTCTGGAAGAAGCCAATGTGAGCACTGGGCTGGCCCCTTCTGTAAGCTAGGACTGGGAATGGGCTGCAAGTCCCTTCCCCCCTTCCCAGAGCCAGGCCCTGGGAAGCCAATGGAAACCACAGTGCCTAGTACTTTAACCCCACAAAGCCAGTAATACTGAAAACTCCTGTTTTCATTTTCATAAATGAATGTGAACTTAAAATCTTATGCCTGATGCCTACACAGAAGGAAACCTTTACCAGCCAATCAATCAAATGTCTGTTCCACAGTAAATCCTAAGGAAAAGACAAAAACAACTAACATACCAGGGTTAAAAATAAACCAAGGGGAGGGTACACTTAAGGTTTCCTTCAGTTTTCATGATGACTACTCTTAGGCAATGATGAGCATTTTATTTTTGAAAATTACAGCTATTCCCTGCCAGATATTCCCATGCTTGTCCAACAGTATGATAGAAAGATTGCACAAATGCCAGTAACATCATGCACTTACCTGGTCTCTTGGGTGACTTAAGCTGTAGGAAGAACAACAAAAAATCTTAGAGAAAATCATTTCAGATGCAACCTAAGGTGTCAAGGTTTCAAAATGATTTAACAAGTAACATGTGAACACAGAAAAACAGCAAAAAACATCAAGCCTAAGCTTTTAAATCAATCAAGAAATCAAACTGTACCTTATTTAATGTTCTCAGATCCTCCATGATCTGTTCATCTGTTAACAAGTAGTTTAACTGGGGTGTTGAGAGTTAAAGGAATGTGTCTGAAAAGCATTGTTTCTGAGCAAACAAATCAACAAAATGGCACCAGTATTTTAGAATTTATAAAGCATGATGTTAGATGACATTTTTACAATAGTTTGCCTTTTGCCAAGTTTTTGATTCTCCTACTAAATGTCATGGTGCCGAGGAATTTAAGAATTCACAGCCCCATCTTACAAAGTTCTATGATGAGAAGGTGGAATGGGATTCACTGGGTAATCATAATGGTTAGAGCAGAGGACACAGTGAACAAAGAACTTCATCCTGAATTTATGAAGCGCTTCCGTTCTAAAGATCTGAAGACTCGTGCAGGCAGACACACACACATGCATTCATGGGCTTATTACCCCAGTAACTTAAATCCTGGTATGTCCTGGCCAGTTGGCAGACAAGTAATGAACCATTTTGTGCAAATGGCTATTTATGATCTCCTAAAGAGGGCAGAAACAACACTTTCTTGTGGTCCCCTCTTCCCATTCCCATTTTTATGATTATAGGGCTTTATTATACCTGACTGAAATCTCATTTGCTTTAACAACAGTTTGCAATCCACTGTTGTAGGGATATAGATAACTGAGGAAAAAGGCAGATATCACTGTCCTCATTTCACAGATAGAAAAATTAAGGCACATGAAACTTTCAGTTGCCCTTGAATCTCCAAGCAAGCACTGAAAGCCGGCTGAACTTGCAACACGAAAGTGCCTTCCCCAATAACCGCCCTCTACAAATCCTCTCACAGCAGTACCAACGGAGCACTCCAGTAATGAAATGGCCACCCCCATCTCATGAATATTTTACGTGTTTTCCAATCAAATATGACAATTCCTGTGGGACAGTAGCCACAACAGATACTCAACCAAATGGATAAGGAAAGGATCCAATAATCTTTTTTTAAAGTGATTAAAGCTTGATGCAAATGGATATCAGGAGCAGGTTTTCTCCTCTTGTCTGGGATGGGGACAGGATCATTGGGTCGCCTCCGCAGCTTTCTCGTCATGATGGGTTTCACCTCCATAGAATCTGTGGCAAGAATGGAATGGGTAAATCTATCCAAATCCCCCTTGAAGTCAGTAAGAACTTCTACTGTGTAAGAATATATGCCCCTTAGCCACCCAATCAGATCTGTTTTAATGGGGACGTTTGGTCCCAATGGGGCTTAAGCCAGACCCCTGTATCACACTGCAGAGAGGGTCTGTACTTAGAATATTCAGACCAGCTGGCCTAAGTGCACATTCCTCTTAGTAATGCAGCCTAGCCCTGCAGTCTACCATTGTAGCCCCTGCAGACATCTCTCCAGCACCCTGAAAATCAGCAATTTTTTCTCTTCTTCCCTCAAATTAGGAAGTCACAGAGTTGTAGGTTCTTGGGATTGGCAGGAACCTTCGGGTCATCTCAAGTCAACCAATTCTTGCTGTTCCCATACCAGATGGGTGAATTGAAGCCCACTGATATAAAAGGCTCTTTTAGACCACTGGCCTCAAGTGCCAACATTTTTATCAATCTTTGTTTACAAACTCAGACTCTTTCTTTTATAACCTTTTGTAACAACTTGGTATCAAGAATGACATAATGAAGCTTCCAAATAAAGTCTCTTTTTATTCTTCTTGACTTACTTCTGCAGCCTAACACCACTGCTGCTGACTCCCCTCACCTTAGATTCTCTCCTCCTCCAGCTGTTCACTGCCACACAGATCTCTCCTCTCCTGATTTACCTCACTGGGGTCCTGTTTGCTTCTTCTGAAATGCTATCTCTGGGACCTAGTCAGTTCTAAGCCTGTACCCCAATAAACCTCTGATCACTAATTCCAGCTCCTCCCACCCTTCTGAACAGCAACCTATACCCTACAACACTATTTACCCTCCAGGATCCAAGTGAACTCATTACTTCTCCTTGTCTCTGTTCCCAAGGCTGCCTACTCTTCATCCTAGGGGAATCATCTCTCCCCCTCTTTCCAGCCAAACAGAATCTGTCATCTGTGGCTTCTCCTCCTTCACCCAGGCATCAAATCCACGAGATAACAGCAGTTCTGCCTTATAGCTACCTCTCAAGTCCATCCCCTCATCATATCCTCACATCACTCAAAGGGATCTTCCTAAGACACAAATCAGATCATTTTGCACATCACTCTTCCATTTAAATATTTCAGTGGCTCGCCACTCTCAACACACTAGAGGCCAAGTCTCCTTTCTGCTCTTCCTCCCTTCTCCTTCATCCACACATACCTTGTTGTGAGCTTTTAGCTATTTTGTAACCCAAAGGTGCCTTACTTATTATGTCTTCAGGCCTTTGCACGCTGTCCTCTCTGCCTAGCCTCCTCTCTCCTGCCCAGCAAACTCCTATATAACATCCTTTGAGAACCAGCTCAACTCCCCCCTTCCTGTACAGCTTCCAGAGTCACATCATCTTCCAAGTAACCAGAGCATTTGTACACACCTCTGCTACCAAATGCCACACTATAGGGGACATCTGACTTCTACCCTGGCATGGAATCTGTCCCACCCCAACACCTTGCAACAGTTTTGGCACACAATAGGGCTCCACAAAGTTTCCTACATAACTACTAGATGACGTCCAGCCTGATGATGAGATAAAGTTAACTCATGACTAGGCACAGTGTCAGCAGAGGAACAGGACAGCCTCATGGAATTAAAATGTAGCTCTTTCACTACAGCAACATGAGAGATCTGAGAACATATAATAAACACACATACAAAGTCAAGAGACATTCCTGCACGTTGCTCTTAAGAGAAATGGGCATTACTGGTTTTTCCCTGTAATATAGAGGTAAAGTGATAAGAAGGAGACCTAATGAACATTCATAAAGGTGTACTTGGAAGTGGGAGTAGAGGAAGGAGGACAAACACACCCAATCCTGGGAAAAAGGCAAAATCCTCTCACCCTGGGAAGCCTCCCTTTCCACCTTGGTCCTGGCAGGTGGGTCTGAATCCTGGCTGTACTGTGCGGTCTAAGGCAGGCTTTGTGAATGCTTATCTCCAGTTTCCTCACCCTCACAAAGGAAGTACCAGTTAATACCTCCCTCCCAGGACGTCCTGACATGACATGACACATGTAAAGCACTCAACACAGCACCTGGCCTAACGAAGAGTTCAGGCAGTGCTGGTCTTTATTATTGTTATTTTCAGCCAGAAAAAACTACAAAGGAATCTTTCTAAAAAGTCAAGGTGCAACCAGCTCAAACAGAAGCTACTTAAAAGGCAACGATGTCAACTGTGAGGCTTTATAACATTAAGACCTAATCTGGCAAACAAAGCATGAAAAAACCTCACCCAACCCGAAAGAGCACCAGAGAAAAAGCACCTAGCACATGAACATTCTAGAATGTTCTGTCCCCCAAAGACTATGGCCAAGTATGCCGCACCTGTGGGCTGCCAAGTATTGGGGGTGGGGAGGATGGGCAATGCATGATAGAAGCCAAAGGAAGGTAGAGCTGAGAGGCTCTGGGAATAGCCCAGTCTTAATCACGGCCAGTAAACTCAGAAAATCATTAACTGCATCTATCACTCACAAATCAGAAAACAATCGAATTCTGCTTAGGAAATGGTGAGAATCAATCCATTTTCTTAGCCTAGCCACAGTAATAACCTAATCAATTTTATCCAAAAAGACTATTTCGGTAGAAGGAAGGTGCTCAGAGGAAGCCTCTAAAATTTATCAGCATGTCCCACCACCATCCAGGAGAGTGAGCAGGGGGGAGTCCTGGCCCCCAGGGGTCCAGGCAGAAGAGGCGACTGGAGAGAAGATCAACATTTAGGTATCTCGGCCCCAAAACTACACAAGATTATCTACTTCAATCACTTTGCTCCAATCCCAAGTTTGCCTAGTTGGCTCTGAAGGTAGATTTTTCATGGAGGGATAAGATATCCTGACCACGTGAGTCCGAGTCTGCCTGGAAGGTCTATTTCCCAGGCTGGCATCTTGAGTTTATAACATAACATTCTGGTGGGCTGGCTAATAAGGGCCCCCAGGGGACTCAATGTGGGTACAGTGACAAAACTCAACTTCTGGATGTAACTGAAACTCAGACCTTGGAGGGTAGCATTCCTGGAGAAAGCGCTTGGGCAGGAAATCAGTCTTGTTCTCAGTCATCATGCACCAATATGCACCAAATACAAACTGACTTAAATCAGAAAACCTCTCTGGTCCAGACGACTCTTCACAGGTTTGTTTCAGGGTATACTATTTGTAGAATTAACTGATCAATTAAAACAGAGGCAGGGGAATATATGCAACAGAAAACACTAAACTACCACCTCCTTTCTAATCCATCTCATATATGTGACCTTTAGTGACAGAAGGCCTATTGCTCTATTCACCAGAAAGGAGCGTGAGGATGGCCAAACCTGGCAGGCAGAGGCCCCCACCAGGTAGCCCTGGGCGTTCTGGCTAAGGAATGGGAGTACAGGTTGGATCAGTGCTGGGCAGTCATTGCCCGATAGTCCCTATGGAGAGAGATTCCTGACAACATTAATTACCTACAATTAACACTCAATTACCACTTACTGGCTGGCCTTTTGTTCTGCACTTCTTTAGGCCTCCCAGCTCACCTGTCTCCTGCGCATGACTGCAGTAAGAGCTTTATTTTAGACTTTAACCAAGTTTCAGCTATTGAAAAAAAAGTAGGTGCAGTGATTCAAAGGAACATCCTTAAGAAAAAGAATCTAAGTGGCAGAAAGAAAAACCACATCAGAGTAAACACTGTAGCAGTTTACTAACTGCCCCCAAACCAGAGGCAATGGAACATGGGCTGGCCCGGAAGCCCACAGCAAACCCCAGCACACCCCGAGGCCCCTCTCTATGGGCTGACAGGCTCTTCATGCACTGAAATCAAGTTACAGTGCCAACAACAAAGGGGTACCTGTAGGAGGTGGGTGAGGGAAAGGCAAAGTAAGAATAAGTCAGGTTTTCAATGGCCAAACTGAGTAGGAAGGGACCAATTTCCATTAGGCCAAAGTTGCCCACAACAAAGGGATGGCATTTAAGGAGTGAATTAATGAAGCCCTCCTCCGCACCCTCAACCAACACTAAATGGCCTGGATTCCACAGTGGCAGCACCAAGAATGACTGACTTGGAGACAAGCCCATTCCTCTCAAATCCAGGTCACCTCTTCCATTCCCCCTCCCCAGATCTGTGTGGGACCTCTTCTCATCACCCTCCTTGACTTCCAAGGTCCCTTGCTCCTTGGCGGCTGTTACATATTGTGTGAAAGCACTCTTCCATCAGTACAACCACATATACCTTTTAAAGATTTTACAATCAGTACAAGTAATCCCGACAATCTCTGCCTTCACTGAGGGGCTCTCTCTTCCTGACACAGCCTTACGTTTGGAAGACATGGAAGCTGTGTCAGATTTGTAACTGCCGAAACATAAGCTCCTTAGGGACAGAGACCTTACCCAGTAGCCTCATTCTGTGAGTCATAAATCCATGTTCTTTGTAGACAGTTGGTTTAAGGTGGTAGTTAAGAGAACATGCATGGAGTCAGACAAATTCTGGCTTAAGCATTATCTCATTGGGGTACTTTGAGCAAATGCCTCCGTTCCTCTGAGCCTGCTTTGCCATGTCAAGTCAAGGGAGTTGCAAGAACTCCAAGTTTACAACTCCCCAATCCCTAAGTGCTTACTCCGTGGGCCAGCCACTCTTTGAAGCGTGTTGCAGGCACCGTCTAATGTTACACCAAACCTCCACAGCAGGTTCTATCACCTCCTTGCCAATGAGAAAAACCCACTGCAGAACCAAGGTCATGACAAAGCCAAGATCATCCACATCCGCCAGCCTATGGAGGTAGCTCTAATGTTTTCACGTAATACCTGGCTCAGTGTAAGCACTCAGGAAACAGAGCTTCTATCTTAGTACTACAGTTACTCATGTCTCCAGCTATGAATCAGTATCTTCTAAAGGCAACTCACAGGCTTTACTGAAGACACGAGTAGCTTCCACAGGGGCCTGAGGGCTGGAAGATGCCCCTGGCGAGGCAAGAACTCACAAAAGAACGTGAAGTTGCAGTTAGTGGGCTGTTGGGAGGAAGGACAGAGGTGATGTCCTAAAGATAGGAAGAGGACAAATGGATTAAAAATGATGAAGGTTGCCACATTTAAAGCTCATTAAGTTCTCATTGATTATATGGCTTACTTATAACCTTGGCCTCAAGTGCACAGAAAACTCCCACTCAAATAATTCTACCTATAACCTCACAACTCGAAATGTGGTCCATGCACAGCATCAGCACGTGGGAGATGGCTGGAAGTGCAGGGTCTCAGGCTCCACTCCAGACCCCCAAACCAGAATCTACATTTCATTAAGACCTGCAGGTGACTCATAGACACATTCAAGTTGGTGGAGCACAATCTGTAATTCATCCCAATTTCTTGACTGACACATGAGCAACTACACAACAAGCAGTTTGGCTGTGAGGACAGCCTCCCAATGATCGCCAGGGAGGACAGAGCAGGAGACCAGATACACCCGTTTCTGATGCATTATTTGGTCTAAGCTTTTCACCAGCCTCTTACTCCATATTTTTCTTCAACAGAGCACCATGCTGAACCAGGAGAGGAAACGTAAGCAAGCTATTTCCTGGGCAGAAGTAGGCAACACTGACACTGGGCATCAACCCATGAAGGTGCCATCAGTCACTCAAGAAGAGGAATGGAACCAGGCCTTTAATACAACACCGCGGCAGCACCATCTGTGGAAATTCTAATTATCCTCCTGGCTCCACTGCCCTTCCTCCCAACACGCTATCATTACCTCGGTGGTGCTTTCCACACCAAGGGCACCAAGTGGCTTGAGCAAGGACATCAATACCTTTAATATCCACGGCTAGCTTTAAGCACCTCTGTCATCCATTTTACTGAGTTACAAATGATTTCCCTGCATTTATTTGTCTTTCCTACCCTGGCAGGCTCAGCCTTAAGTCACTGGGGATCCCTGTCTCAGTTAAGATTCTGGCTGTAAAGCTGCCTGGCCAAACAATGTGTATCACTTGTCAATAATTCGGATGCCAAATCACAGGTAAGGTGATGATATCCTTCCCTGCAGATGGAAAGGGAAGAGCTATAAACTGACAATATTTCCCACTAGCCTAATGAAGGCTCCCGAACATCTGGTGGCTCTAGCCGCGAGCAATGAGGCATCAATGCCAACCACAGCCACCATCAAAGAAAATGGTGTGCAGGACAGAAAACAGGTGGGCAGACTGGTACTAGAGAAGGTACCACAGTGCTGGCAGTCTAATTAAAAAAGATTTCAACAGAACAAGATGGTACTGTCTTAGCATTCCATTCTCACCAAAAAACAAAAACAAAACAAAACAAAACAAAAACAAAAAACAAAAAACACGTCATTTCTGAGATCTTCAAGGAATTAACTTCTTTTGCCAAGTCTTTTAATAAGGAAGCTATCAGAGGAGAGACTTTTCAAGAGTCAGACCCTCTCCACCACTTCAGACACAATGATATGAGTGTATGGTCATTGTGGAGCTACAAGCTTGAGTTATCTGGAGGACCCCGTTGGGTCTTAGCATGAGAAATGCAGAGGAGAAACACAGCTCTTGACTGTTCCTTTTAGTTTCAAAAGTCAGCCCCAAGGACTTACAAAAAACAATGCATTTCTTATGGACCCCTACTAAAATCAAACACGCAACAGCCCCAGTACCTTCTGAACATGATTATCAGAGTTAAATTTTGGGGTGTGCAGATAGGGTGCCATTTACATATGCAAGGGACAAACTTCCCACTGACTGGCCCTGCAGTACTCTATTTGCCAATGGAAAGTTTTCTAAGTTCCCAAAGAGCTAGTTCAAGCCAATCCCACCCTGGATCCTTTTACACTTCGTCAGTCTACATACGGCAACAGAACAGTCAGGCCATATTGCTTCTCCCTTATACTTGCCTATAACTTGCTGAGTTCCCATATGCAGGTGACTAAATCCTAGAAGGCCAGGGAAGGACTGGCTCTGAGTCTAATGTAACTTTACTATCTTCACATGAAAATAGTTGAGTTCTGCTACCCCTGCTGCAAACTAATCAACTTTCTCTGAAATGTTCACAGTAATGCCTCAGGGAAGGGATCTAATAGCATAGATGACACAGCCAAATGCCTTTGTTCTCACATTTAGATCAAAGAAAGACAATGCTTTTTCTGTAATGAAGGCAGACTGGGGGAGGGTGGGGGGAACAAAGCAGAGGGATTCCCACCACAACACAGGGACCTGGGTAAGTGACCCATGACCATAACCAAGACCAAAATGGCAGCTGACCCAGGAAAATAACGCATAAGCCAGAGGTTCAAGTCACTATTAAAGGTCTACCACTTACTGAACACCTGTATGTACAGGGCACTATACAAAGCACTCAGCCTTTTAACCACAACCCTGAGAGATGAAGTGCCATCAGCGCCATTTTACAGAAGGGGGCACAGGCTCAGAGAGGTTCAATGGCTTCACTCAAGTACTACAGCTAACCCAAGGAAGGGTGAGAACTGGCCTGTCCTATCAAAGCCCCCCTCCTTTCAAGTTGCTCTGCTCTGCTGAAGAGCAGAGACGGAAGCAGGACAGGAGGAGTACCTGGAGCCCCTTCGGGCTCAGGACCCTGCTCAGCGGTGCTTTAGTACCTCCAGTCAGTTCCATTGTAAGCTTTTCATTCTCAATCATTTTCTTCTTTTCTTCTAACTCAGCAATCAGGTTCTCTTTCAGCTCAACCTTCTTGTCTTCAAATTCTTTCACCGCTGCCTTCTTTTCTTTAATGTAATTTCTTTCCACTTGTTCAGTCTGAGCAAAAGAGAAACACAGACTATGGCCCTGGCAGCCAGGGCTCCAACTTCAAGTATGCCTATGCACTCAAGAGCAAGGCAGATACTGTTACTAGAAATACAGGGAATAGCTGCATCCACATGTACACTTGCAGTAACAGCATGTTTGAGAGCAAGTTTTCCAATAAATGCAGAACATTGAACCATACAACTTCTGCTTGTCTTCATGTGTATACCTCACCTGCTACTCAGGCTATTTCCTCTTCCACATTTTCTATTGTATGGCTTTATGTTAAAGTAGAACATAGGTTTCCCCAAGGTAGTAAATAAACCCTTGTTAAGATCACAGTTTCAAAGGAAAATAGTCTATTCCAGATGAAATATCTATATTCAAAATTAACTACAAGATATGAGTCAAGATGACATGACTATTTTTTGATACAGTTAAGATAAAGATTGACTAGAAAAGATCATTTTTATTTATTAGGTAACTGAACCCCTAAATACTCAAGCAGTGAAATTATACTAAAAAAAATATATGCATAAGCACCCATTTTTTACATCTCACCATTGCACTGAGAGAAGAGCAAGGAGCTCCCTCTTATGGTGGGCTACGGCTGGAGATAATGGGACCCTTCAGGCTGTGACTACTGCATGGGCACTGACTTCTGTACTGAAGTAGTTTCCAATAATGCCGCTCTGATAAACCATGACCTTCTCAACAGTCATGTGTGGCTCTCATATATTCATGACTCCCTCACCAACACACACATACCAAAAAAAAAAAAAACACAAAACACCATCGTAGAAGTACATCACTCAAGATTCAGGCCCTCATTTCTGTACATTGCCCTGTGCCTCACACAGAACAAGCATTCAGATGTCTGCTAAATAAAAGGAAGAACTTTACATCTGTCTTCCCCACTGACCCAGAAGGTCAGCTATAAAACTGAACTGCTGAGCCATTTCAGAGACTGAGGACCCATGTAACAAGTTATCAGGCCAATATTCAGACATAGTCCCAAATGGCTTTAATGTGAAAGAAAAGTCAACAAAAAAGCAGTGAGAGACTATCTCCTAATCCTCTGTGATAAACAGAGGCTGCCCAACTAACAAACTAATAATGGAATTTCTGAATTGAAACCAAATGTCCTTTAGTCAAACAGAACAGTGATAAAGGCTTCCAGCCCTGGAAGCCTCCCAGCTATCTATGTGGTGATAGAAAGAAAGGCCACCGGAGTGGGAGAGCAAGATTCCAGTTTCAGAAGGAGCCTGTGACCCCGAAGATCCAAGGTACTTACTTCCAGCTGGAGAAAGAGTTCTGAAAGAGATAAAATGCATAATTAGAGTCACTAGGGTGTGTCACCTTTCTAGACAGTGATGTTAGGATTCATTTAGAAGCAGTAATTACTGTTTGAAAGCACGGTTACACACAGCAAATGTTTTCAGCGTAAAGTGTTGATACACATGAAGGGGAAGGACACTAGAAGCACTCGTGTCTAACTAAAATTTGGCCCTGAAAAGAATCGGCTCTAGCAGATCTGCCCAAGGACAAAAGCAAGCAATAGGAACCAAACTACTCTGGCAAAATGAATATAAAAGGTATCCCTCCTTTCACTCATAACATACCCTCCAGCATCCTGCAGGGCAGGATGGGCAGGAAGAAACAATGCAGTTACTCTAGAAGCAAAGTCAACTTGGATGTGTCTACAGCATCGTGTGAAGGGCTCTGTGTGGTAAGGAAGGACATCCCCAAGAACGCAGGAGGTTCCGAGCCCTCCCGGGGCTTTCCTCCCAGGCTGCCAAGCCTCTGTCCAGGCCCTTGCCTCCCCCAACAATGTCCTCTGGTCTCTCTGATCACATTCCCAAGTTTCTGATAGAATACAGCTTACTCCAGAGACCTTTCCTGAGGACCCTTCACTTACCAACAACCCCACACACCTCAAAGTATCCACCTGACAGCATGTAACAGCTCATTCAGTACCCACTGTGTGCCAGGTAATGAGGAGCTGTTTACCCAGCAGCTCCCCCACCTCCACCACTAGATTATAAGCCCTATGCAAACCCAACACTTAGAACAAAACAGGTCCGTGATTCTCATCTGTGGGTGAGAGTGGAGCTGCTACATACCATTCACAAAGACTGCTGGTGGATCAACAACTCCGGAGATTGCTGTTCACATTTTACCATGGTCTCCCTTGCAAATCTCATAAATTCTATGGCTCCTATCCCATAAGAAAGCACATATGCACACTCACATGTACTTCATAAAATTTTGAAAGCCTCAGCAACTTCAGATTAAGAATCTAGATGTCAATTAACAGTTGTTGAATGAGAAATTAACTGACAAAAGGGCCAAGCCACTCATTATTTTCCAACTCCCCAGAAGCCCTGATGGTTCTGGCAAGGAGAGGCACTGGGAAGCACCAGGAAGCACATGAGCCCAGGCACTGCCGCCCACCACGCTCACTCCCATGACTGCTTCAGACTTCACCACACACGAACAGCCCCAACATCTGAAGAGTGCACCATTCAGAGAAATCACACCTGCACCAAGTCACACTGTCAATTAGCACTTAGAGCAGGTGGTGGCAGTTTTAGAGAAAGGAGCCAGACACCAGGCACTACTACCACAGGCGGATTATCTCTGCACGGAATATGCTTTTTAAAGCTCCAGCTGTGACTGATTTGGGAACTCTTCTGCATTTTTACTTCGGGGGACTAAGAATGGAATTAAGAAAAAGAGCTCAATACTCTGCAGTTTGAGCTTCAGAAAAATGGCTCACATCAACCTTCCTTCTTACACCTTAAACCAATTCCATGAGATATTAGCATTTCCCTGACAGCTGGAGAAACTGAGGCTTCAAGAGCAAATACCTGCTTAGAAGTGTGAGACCTAAGATGTTCCTCCTTTCCCTGCTAAAGGGGGCTCAGAAAGAGGGCTGAGGATTTTACAGTGCCCCAAGGAGATGCATGAGTTAGAGTGGAATGGTGACCATAAGGGCAGGCAGAATGTGTCTAGGAAGAAAGCTACTGGCTCCCTCTCTGTGTTCCCAGTGCCCCTGCAGCCCTCACCTCCTTTTCTCTCTGTTGGGTGTACACTGGCCATCTACCACTGGGGGACAGAAAAGATGTCATCAACATAAAGTTCAAAAGTCACTGGATCAGAAAGCAAGAGGACGGCAGGCAGCCTGATGAGTGGCATCCAGGCCTCATTTTAAAACCCAATTACTTCTACCACTGCGGGAATAAGCACGAAGCAGACACTCAAAATGCTGGCTGATGAGGAGCTTCAAAATGTAACATTTACAAAAGACTTCCTGTAAGTGCAGGAATCTGTGCTTACACACTTAACAGCCATCACATCTTCACTTGTTACATGATTCTCTATTTAACTAATAATGTTTGTTAACTTTACATGTTGGGGCACCTTCTGTCAATGAAAACAATGAGTTCCCTGAAGTCAAAGATGATGAGTTAACACTGCTTCGTACCGCTCACACAGCTTAGATCTACGAGATGTTCAACAAATTGCTGTTGAAATAATACACTTACCATGTACAACAGGCCAAAAGCATACTTTCTCTCAAAATGCTTGTACTACCTGAAGGAAAAAACAAGGACATCCTTTCCTCCCACAGCAGAATCCAGGAGAGAAGCTGCAACCCTTTTCCACATCAGCTCCTCTGATCATACATGAAGCCAGCCATGCAGACATAAGAAAGAATGTGCCAACTCCTCTTGAGGCACCAAGGACCAGAACCTGGTTGCAAGGAGCCACGACGAGCAACCTCAGCTACGGCTGTTCACTGCCCCCTCCCGCGAAAAAAGTGAACCAGGCTTATGTAACCGGGGCTTTGAGGTCTCTCATCCCCCAAACTCTCCTTCCACTGAGATATTTGTGATACATTTTGGACAATAGCTCTTATTGCTTCTGATAATCAGCAAAAGAAGGAAATCTGAAGATGACTCATTTCCATGCACAAAGAGCCTTACCTGCATTTCGTATCCTCTCTTTGTACTGCTGATCTAGTTTTTTCATCCTCTTCTGATATTCCTGCAATGTACCTGATTTTGAGATTTACAAAATAAGAAGTTACTCTGAAGAGCAAGCTGCTCTACATTTTGGTTCCTAAAATTATTTTCCAGCACCAGCAGTGAGGATTTTAGTATAATCAGAGTAAAATACAAACCAAAGTGAAGCACATATCAACAGAGCTAATTGGATCTCAACTGGCTCTCAATGAATACACAGAGCAGAAATTGCTCCAACTCTCTAGCAAGTGAGGGGGAGTAGAAAGGTGCCAGCATTCATCCTCAGGCTATTCTGATCACTTGCTATTATTACAGTTGGCGTCATGGGCTTCCCTTCCCTGAAAAAGCTCAATCTCCTCTAGTAAGGCCTAGATCAATGTTGTCCAGTAGAACTTTCTCTGCAGTGGTGGAAATGTTCTATGTTGCACTGTCCAATATGGCTAGTGCATGTGGCTATGAGCCCTTGAAATGTGGCTCATTTAGTACAACTGAAGAAGTGAATTATTAACTTTAATCAAATTTAAATAGCCACACGTGGCTGGTGACAATAGTGGACAGCTCAGGTACAGACTTTTGCTAAATTCCTACTCATTTCATTGCTCTTCCCCAAAGCAGCTATTTTGAAGTTCCCAGTTAGGGTGGGAAGTGTTTCCTGATCATAATGCCTTAGTGGGAAATAGCAATATAATCTTTTTCAAAATCCCTCACTCAACCATGCCAGGTATACCTCACGGACTTGCTAGAAGGACATGTATTTCTTTCTTTGGCAATACTTCTATTACCACAAAAAGCAAAAGTAAAAATAAAACAAAGATGTGTGATTGCAACTCATGGGAACATTTTCATTATTAAGCAGCAATCAGTACGAGATGGGCTAGTCCAAGCAATAAAAGTACTTAGTGGAAAAGAAGTTTCACTGATGCAAGGACTCCACAAAGGGAAGCCAAAGAGCAAGGCAGCAGCTAACTGTCCCTGAGTCCTAGCGTGTCCAACAGCACAAGTCACTCCGCAGGCATAATCTCACCTACTTCCATCTTCCTCATTTCGCAGATTAGAAAACAAATTAAGCAAAAGAAAGTGATGTGCCCAAGATCAAATTTCCAGAAGTGGTGAAGCTGGGATTCAAACTGGTGGTGAGACTGGACAGCCTGTGCTCTTAACCCCGGTGCTGAACCACGTTTGGCAGGTAACAGCATTCAGGATACAATCCACTTTTAATTTACCAATCAAAACAAGGAAAAATATAGTAAAGACAGCCCACAGTTCACTAACATTTAGTTCAGAAAGAATAGTATGATTTTATTTACTCTTAGGTAACAATGTCTCTCCTAAAAACATCCAGCTTTAGACAACAGTGGTTTTCAGCCCATGCTCTACAGAAAGCCCTATGTGAGATTTCAAAAAACCATGAAAATCGCCATTTTACTGACAGAAGATAGCAAAATATACACTGCACAGCTAACATCAGCCACATCAAATTTTCAATCATTCCCACAGAGAAGTGAAATACACAGATTTCAGAGGTTTATAATATTAAGAAGTATATGTAGAAATGAAGGATTAAAAAACACACTAACCTTCCTGAAGCTGTTGCAACTGTCTCTTGAGAGAAGCCAGTTTATCCTGATACATCCTGTAAAAAAAGGGAAAGCCACACTGAAAGACAAAAGCATCAGTGCTCAATTCCCAACTAATCCACCTTAAGGGAACAGCATTAAGGTCCTTTAGGGGAGAGACAAAACTAACAGCCTGCTGCTGGTTGAAAATGCACTACAGCTAAAGGGGTCAGAAAGGGAGAATTCCACATTCCTGAATTATATCCCCATTTTGTATATTCTCCTGTGTTACCCCATCTTTAGGAAATTAGTCTAAAATCTATAAATATGAAGATATGCAGATTTTAATAAACAAGTTAACATGATAAACAGGCAAGAACAATACAAAGAAAAATTGAAAGTGTGATGATGCCATGTTCCTCTGGATTTGGAAGGGTTCAGTCACACACATACACGAAGGCATTAAACGCAGCTTTTATATCAACTCTACAATTAGACTGTAAATACCAAAGTTGTAAGGATTATGCCTTCAGCATGTTTTTCTATATAGATATCATAGCTATATAAGCACTAAGTTAATAAAGCTTCATGTCATTTTCAAAAGCACTACTTTTTTAGGATCGAAAAAATATTTAACAGCCATTCAGTAACAAAATTTAAAATGCAGGATTTATTTGCAGCCCCACCTGAATAAAGAACACACAGCAATCACAAAGTCAAAGGAGCTGGCATACTAATTCTTTCCCCTCACGCCGAATGGATTATAGGCAATTACATATATATACTCTGGCAAGTCTTTGAGTGGTGGATCCCACACATAAATCACATGTCAGCAATAGTTTTGCTTCTACCTGAAAACACCCCCAGTTTCACAGTGACAAAAACAAGATTTGCAACATGAAAGAATGCTGTCCAAAAAATAAAAGGCACAACAGCCTCTGGATTGCTGAAGTAAGGTCTACAAATACAACCCAGCTATCCGCAGGTTGAGGAAGGAGTAGGCAGGATCTGAGAATTACACTGAGGGTCAGATTTTTTTAGGGAGAATTCTGATGTACTCTCAATGCTCACCTTGAATTACACAAGGCATTCAATTTTAATCAAAAAATTTTTTTTATCAAGTATTCAGGGACATGCTCAATTTCAAAACTGTCTCTAAAGAATGCTTCAACATAACCAGTTTCGGAGAGGGAAGGGATGTGAAAACTGCACACAAGTATCTGGACCCCAATATATTAAATTTTCCACCACACTGAGTGTGCCAGACAATGCCTTTGAAATCTGAGTCTGTCTTTGAAAGGCAATATTAACAGACTGAAGAAGTAAACAACAAAAAATTCAGATTCAAGAAAAGAAAATAGCATATGAAAATACATGTAAAATGGGTCACGACAAATCGACAAAAAGCCTCAAGAGAATAAAAATAAAAACGAAAAGCAAGCTGTTTTCAAGGATGAAGCTATTAGAAAAATCCCATGAATTATTAAAGTAATCCTTTATTCTGCACTGGTTAGGTCCAAAGCCTGAAAAGAAGATGATCACAAAACATTTGCAAATAGGACCTATTAGGAAAGGAATGTGGATTGGCTAGAGATAAAGAATCAAAAAAGTCAAATCAAGATTCTCAAAGTATATCCAACAGATACTTATCAGATATATTTTACAGTGTCTTGCATCTGTGTCTTTGACAGAAATAAGTGGTTTTAGTTTCTCTGGGCACATTTAGAGAAAGCCTGGGTGTGGAAAGTGCCCTGGAACAGGAGCCAGAAGCCTTGGGTCACCCTGAGCTCACCAGGCATCTAGCACATACTCAGTGCGTCACACCCCTCTGAGAACCATGTAGCTGTGAAACACCATGTCCTCTATAAAAGACTGATTAAATGTAACAAATTTAAAGCAAGGAAGTCACCCATATACATACATAGTCTTTGGAAGCACTGTAGTCAAAACCATACACATAAGGTCACTATAAAGATTTCCTTGTCAATTCTGTGTTCCAGAAAAAGAAATATAAAAATCATACTCACTGTTCCTTCATCTCTACATAGTCTTCTTCATCGTGCTTTGCCAGATCAGTTTCACTAGCATCCTCTGTGTCTAAGTGAAATCAAGGAAGAGTTTGTCAAGAACATAATTCGAAGAGTTGTAACACCTGACACTTAATAAAACTTTTGAAAAGTGAATTTCACTCCGTGCAGGCCTGTGTGAAGCCATCAGTGAAAAATACTACATTCGGTTACTTCAGAAAATGCCATTCCCACTTTACACACAGCCAGGTTTATGCAAAGAACTTGCCTTTTCTGACGTGCAGCCAGAGAACAGGGTGCATCAAGACACAGGCAGGCATGGTCAAGGCTACTTCTGCAGAAGCAACCCGGGTAGTTCAGAAAAAGGAGTTGAGGGTGTAAGGCTGGAAAACTACAGGCAGCCAAGCCTGTTTGCTACTCCAAAACGACCTGACATGTACATTCTCTTCTGGTACGTGCCCAGTTTGAACCCTTAACAAATTTTACGCCGCATACCTATAAGGGAGAATCTGAACCAATGAATTGAACTCTAGTAAACTGAAATGCTTTCAAAGTTACAAATAATGGGAGAAGAAAGGAGACAAGATGATCAAACAGAAACTGTTTTATAATATTTTAAACACGGTTCTTAAAATAAGCAAATGGCTGGAGTGTCTGCATAATTTTTAGCAGCCCCACTTGAGGGGGAAAAAAACCGATTTTGGCTACACCCCTCCCCCTTGTGGGCATTAAAAGCAGTACAAGTGATTCACGAAAATCTCTGGTTAAGCCTGGTCTTCAAATGTAGTCTAACCAAAAGCAATTAGTTCCTTCAACTTTTTATCTGCATATGCAGCTACCTTATTAAAGACTATTGCAGACCCAGTTCTCGACAAACTCTTCTCGCTTCCTTCAGTGAGTTCCTGTCATGTGCCTGCCACGATACTTGGCACTTGGGGAACTGAGTTGAATAAACCAAACTCCTCGTTCCGGACAGCTAGTCTAGCCTTTTGCTCCCCCACCCTAGTTTGTGCCAGAATATTCCACTCATATATTCCACCATATAGTGCTTTCTTTCCCCTGTCCTTTTATATTTCTTCACCTTTCTCCTCCTCTAGCCAGCACCCTCCTCAAAACATCCAAACAGTGTTTCTCACACTTGCCAAACTGTAAAGCCCAGTTTGAAAAGCAAGGCTCTGAGAGACAGTAATGATAATGTTGAAAACACCTATTGAGCATTCACTGAGTGCCAGGGTAAGTACTTTACACACGTATCTCATTTAATCCTCACACCTATGCTAGGAAGACCCCCTTACAGGTGGATAAACCTAATCTCAGAAGCTTAAATGTCTAAGACCATAAAGTTGGGTTAAGTGAGCCAAATTTAGACCTATTGAGACAGGGACCAGTGAGTGTAGTCAGAGTAGGGTGAGGGCCTCCGGTTAAAGCAAGGCAGGATATTTACAGTCAGGGCAATGTAACTACATGCAAGGAAACCCCCTACCAAAACTGTGTTAAACATTAGGCTCTGGAGTCATTCTTCAGTGAGATAAATTAATATTCCCCAGATAAAGGAAAGTAGCCCACGTTTTTGTTATGCTAATTGTTTGTAATCATGTGTAAGATTCACCTTAGCATGCTCAAGGCCCAGGCCTATGTGCAGTCTTTCCTTTCACACCTGATGAGGTGATTTGCAAACTGGGCAACTAATTTAGCATGCAGGCCCAGCTGTAAACAACATAGTAAAAGGCAGGAAAGATTCCACCTTAAAGATAAGATTGCATTTTAATACCCAGGAAGTTAAGAACATTCTTAACTTACTCTTTTAACAAACAGACAATACCTCAGCTCACCTTGGGGGCTGGGCAGGCGGCCTTGTTTGATAAGCTCCCAGACCAAGACACCGGTATCTCAGGGAGAAATCAGAGCAGGAAGTTCCTTGTGTTAAGTTAATTCTAAATATTCAGGGACCACTCAACAAGTCCACACCTCTAAGCCTTTTTTTTCACGTTTCCAAAAATCCTCAACTGCCTATAAAACCCCTAGACAGCACACCACTATAAACTCTCTTGTCCGCCTCCGGCCATGAGCCAGGAGCTCGGTCCTCTCCCCGTATCTCTCAATAAAAGCCTCCCCCTTGCTCTCCTACCTTAAGTGTTTGCTAAATTCATTCTTCGACTCTGCAAACAAGAACCCCGGAATCACTGTCAAGCTAATTCCAGGGCCCTTCTTGTAACCAACCTGTACTTTCAACCTCACTGCATTGCCCAGGGAAAACTCAAGCATTACGCCAGGGCTGAGGGCTGCGGGGAGCAACCTGGGCACCAGGAAGTCAAACCGGGCTTTGCTCCGATCCTCTCAGGAACTACAAAGGGTGGGGATACTCAAGGAACCGGTTGAAGGCTTTCTCATTCCAACCAGTGAAGACCTAAGGTTCAACCAGAAGCGGTCCGGGGAAAAGAGGCAGAATCCTAAAGGGACCTCCGGCTCTGACAAGGCCTCCCCACGTCTTTCTTCCCATAACCGAAGGGCACGACGTACGCCGAGCTGCCGCCTGCCCAGGCCGCGACGGGGTAACGTCCCGCGGCCGCCCCGCCCACTCCCACGCAGGCCCGCCCACGCCCCCGGCCGCCCCGCTCCCACGCGGCCCCCGCCCCACGGCCCCGCCCCCGCCCCGGGCCGCCAGGTGAGCCGGAGGACGCACCTTCGTCCGACTCGCGGCCCCGGCAGCTGCGCTCGTCGTCCTCTGCGCTCTCGAGCTCGTCGTCTTCCTCGGGGTAGTACTCCGGGGCCGTCGGCGCTCCGGCCGCAGCCGGAGCCGGAGCCAGCAGCCCCGCAGCACTCATGTCGCCTCTGCCCACGGCTGGGCGTGCTACCTGGGCACGGCGGCCGCCCGCCTCGCGGACCTGACGCCCGCCCAGCAGCGCCCGAGGGAGCCGCCAAGCGGAGCCGCGACCCTTTTCCCCGTCTCCTCCAAGCTCCGCCCCTCGCGCCCGCGCTCGGCAACGGGGGCCTCGTGCCGGCGGCGACTTCCGGGTCGTGAGCTGCCCGAGGATCGCCTGATTCCACCATCCTTGAGGGAGTGGAGAGGCCGCCGCACGCCCCCTTTACCTTACTCTAGCCCCTTCATCGCGGTGTTAAAAACCTTTAACGGGTAATGGGGAGGGGCGGGGACAGGATCTGTGGAGTTAGGCAAATCCTTGGGCAGGCCTGACCACAGTCAGGACCCCGAAGCTCAGAGGCTATTTCTAGAAACAGCCGCCAGACGGCGCCTGGAGCCAGAAATAAAGCGGAGCGATGATCGTTAGCGACCTGTGGCAGAGGGTTTGAAGGGCTTTTGACAGGTGGAGGGCTCTTGAGAGCAGGTGAATGGCATGAACCATACATTTTATAGGTCGAAAAACCAAGGCTTCTAGAATTTGGGTGATCACTCCGAAGAAAAGCCTGCCTCCTCCCCCGACTAATTGGAACATTATTAACAACTAAAATAAAGACAAGGATGCTGATAGTCCATCCAAGGGTCAGCAAAACTGAACTTTCCCAGTCTGTGCGAGTCCCTTCTGTTCGTATGTACGCAATAAAGTGTTCTCCCGATTTTACAGATGAGAAAAGAGCTGTCACTTTTCTTAAAAATGGTAGCATCCAGTCAGCTTTGTCCACATTCTCATACCCAGGCCCCCTACTGTACAGCTGCCTCATATTTCTTAGAATATTTATTTTTTTAAAGGTGGTTTTCCCCAGTCCAATTGCTTGCTAACCAACTCTCAGCTGGGCAAATGGAACATCTGCCTACAGGAAGTTAATTAGGCTAACATAGAAAGGTGCTAGGTGGAAACTTAGAAAACAAGAAAGCTGCAGCCTGCATGAATTAATTTGTGTGATTCCCTGAGTAGAAGGGGACATAGTGTTATAAGCTTAGCTTAAAGTAAAAATTGAAGATGTCCTTATACCTTTGTTGTGTGTAGCAAGAAAAGGGTTAAGAAAGAAGGTCCAGAGATGTTTAGTGATGTGTCCAAACTAACCCTATTCTATATGTTGCATCCAAGTCTCCACAGGATAACTTTACTACTCACAGGTAGTAAGGTTGAACACAGATGTAAAAGCTGGGGTGAGACCAATATTCTGATTCTCAGATCCTTTGTGACCCAATTTACCTCTTAACTGGCCCCCACAGAATCTTTTAAAAGTGAAAAAACTTGGCCCATTTATTTTAACATTTCTTACTTCCTAACTTACTTTAATTAAAATCGTGGCTCTGTTGGTGAGGGATTTTTTTTCCTCCCACCAGTAACTCAAGAATTTCCAGAAAGGAATGCTGTGATTTCCCTCTAGGAGTTAAGAGATCTTCTAAAGCTCCTTGTACCTTATAGTCATTCTCAGTGCTTACTGGAGGCCCACCATCTATATTTAAACTAGGATTTCAGAACTCTCTTGTCCAAATGATGAAGTCATTTTCCTTTTTTATGCAATTACATCACATCTAAATTACTTGTAATCAACTATATTGAGCAACTTGAGTTCCTATCAGGAGCAATAATCATAGACCAAAAAAGCACCAACATTTTAGAAATTAAGAGTTCATTGTTCTGGTAAATCCAAAAAAAAAAAAAAGCTGGTTTCATTACTAATTGGTTTCCTTTCAAGATACTGGCTTTCATCTTGCTTATGTTTCATTTCTATCTTGATTGCAAATAACATCTGTTAATGGTAATGCATTTCTTTTTTCTATGAATAGACACAACTGCACATTCGGGTGGTGAAAACTTACCCCGTTTTTTCTATCCATATTGCCATCTGCAGAACTTGTAGAATGACCTCTTCGAGAAGGTGACCCTCTAAGGGAAATGACTCTTTCCTTTAGAGAAGGAGGACCTACTCAAAAAAAATTCTCACATTATTTTAGTCTTACCCAACATTTATAGTTCTTTAATATAATGATTTTTGACAGTCTCTCTAGGCCTATAAAAATCCAGTTCCCTCAAAACCAAATTTTAACCACCTGGAAATCTCTCTGTACACCTTCCCAAAATGGCACTCAGTCACACTCAGGAGAAACCTACTTCAGAACTTCTCTTAAACGAATTCCTGCCAGTCCCCATCCACAGGCCCTCTCTGCATACCCTAACGCTCAGACTTGAAGGGCAGCACAGTAATTGGAATGGGATATGATTTTAAAACACTAGAGAAAACATGTATAGTGTTTAGAACACAGATTTCGTCAGCAGGAATTAAAAAAGAGTTAACAAGGGAGCATTTTCTGAGCGTGAAATCCTGTATACTTCCGAAAAGGCATAGGATCAAATTGTGTTTCTGAAATGAAACAATTTCTTCATAAAAAGTCCATGTCCGTAAACTTTTGGGTTTATTGTAGCTTTACTTCCAGTATTGAAATAATATATCCAGATTCACAAAAATACAAAGAATGGACCTGAGTAACATGAGGTACTTTCACCCCTGGCAGGCACCATCTTTCAGCTTGGGTCAAGATGGGTCTCTATCACAAGTTGCCCAGGTCAAAGTCCACTTTATTTTGGCGATCAGTTCACACAGGATCATTAAAACATGTCGCCCTGAAAAAGAGTATATTGAATAGTCTTAATGAAGCTAACAAGAGTTCCCCTACAACACAAGTTCCTGTTCCTACTGTCCTACGATTATCAAAAACCACAAACTGATTATTTCTAAAGCTCTACCAGATTGTGCCTCAACAGCGTTGAATGCTTAGGGGAGCAGAGTATACGCCTAGCACACAGTTTTGTTGTTGTTGTTGTCCAACATTTAAGTGACGTCCGTTGAATGTAATGCAAGGGAAGGCAACTCCCTTGCCAAAAATACAAAAGCTGAAATCCAGGAAACATTCACAAATCCAGAGTGAATAAATGATCTATTAAATTAATTCACGGCAAAAATAAATTAGAAAGCTGTGCAAGATCTACCGGAAGAATGGAGACCTCCTCAAAGGTTCTAACAGGGTGGTCTCGGGGAGTCCCAGAGGGGCCTTGGCTTCTGGGAGTCTCCCAAGAAAAGTAAAGGAGCAGGGAGGAGTGCCTCGAACTTTGACCCCAGAGCAGCACAAACAAGACAGACCGCACCCCAGGCGGGCCCGTGGGTAACTGAAGCTGCAAGGTCTTCCGTGTCGGAGGAAGCCCCACCCCACTCCATCCCGCCCACCGACAGCTTCACCAATCCTCAGGCACCATCGACCGCTCGGCTTCCCAGGCATCGCCAGTCAAGTACCTATATCCGGCCCCAGGCTTATGCCCCGCGATCAGGGAAGGTCAGTAGAGAGCCTATCGGAGCTGAGCTGGGGGCGTGGCCGGGGGGCAGGGGGCGGGCGGACTGAGACAGTGGGGCGGAGCGCACTCAACGCAGTCGGGTGCGATTGGCCACCCCTGGCAGGAGCCGCACCTCGGACAGCAGCAGCGGCGGTCGCGGGAGGGTCCGTGTGGCGCTTGGCGGCGGCGGCGGCAGGGTCCTGCGTGAGAGAGTGGAACGGAACGCGGGGACCGCGGGTGGAGGTTCCGTGCGGCCGGACTGACACTCGGCGACCGGACCTGGGGATCCGCCGGGGGACCAGCGTCAAAAGAGCGACCCGGGAACAAGTGTGGAGAGGAAGCGTCGGTGGCGACGCCGGGCCCGGGGGTGGTGACAGCAGGTCTGAGGTGAGAGCACCGGGGCGCGGGGCGGTGACAGAGTGAGCCGAGACGGGGGACCCTGGGCCGAGTGAGGCCGGCGAGGACCCGCGTGAGGGGAGTTCCGGGAGTGGGCCGGACGATCCGGACTGTGGGAGGAGACCCCTCAAAGGGGCTGGCACCCAGGTCTGAGGGGGGACCCCGAGAGCGGCCGGGACAGCGGGTCTGGGGAGGGGACCCCGAGAGGGGCTGGCACCGCAAGTCTGAGGAGGGAACCCCGAGAGAGGCTGGCACCGCGGGTGTGAGGGGGACCCCGAGAGGGGCCGGGACAGCGGGTCTGGGGAGGGGACCCCGAGAGGGGCTGACATCGCAGGTCTGAGGAGGGGACCCCTAGAGGGGCTGGCACCGCAGGTCTGAAGAGGGGACCCCGAGAGGGGCCGGGACAGCAGGTCTGAGGAGGGGACCCCGAGAGGAGCTGGCATCGCGGGTCTGAAGAGGGGGCCGCGAGAGGGGCCGGGACAGCAGGTCTGAGGAGGGGACCCCGAGAGGGGCTGGCATCGTGGATCTGAGAAGGTGGACCCCGAGAGGGGCTGGGACAGCGGGTCTGAAACGGAGTCCCCGAGAAGAGTAGAATAGCGCGTCCGATGAGGGGACCCCCCGAGGGGCCAGGACAGAAGGGCTGATGGGGGAAGGGGGCCCCGGGAGGGCTTGTGTCAGCGGGTGTGAGGCGGACCGGAGAGGGGCTCGTGAGAGAGCGGGTGGAGGCGCGGCCCCGGCCTGCGTGTGATTGCTGAACCGGGGTCGGGGTCGCCGCGCGAAGAGTTGGGACAGCTCGCGGCACAGAGAGGAGGGGAGGGTGCCGCTCCCAGGGTCTGCGGGCAGCCGATCCTCCTAACGGTGGCGTGAGACGTGAGGCAGCCTGAGCCCCCGTGACTCTGTGGGTGAATCTGTAGAACAGAGATTATGTAATGAAACCTCTCCGAAGTAGAACGAACGCACGGGCTGGAGGGTCTGGCAGAAGCACAGAGATCTTGGAATGGAAAGAGCAAGAGAGATGGACTGATGGACCCCACTTCTCTGGCCCCTGGCTTCTGATTTGTTTCTCGGTTTGGCGTGGATGCCTTGAAAGCAAGGGGTTTCCTGACCTTAAGAGCGTGATCGGAAAGTGAAAAGTTGGAGAGGGCTTCCTCAACCCACCACAAACATGTTGAGAGAAAGGGATCCTTTTGGAAACCAGTGTTTTGGATTAATTAGGATGTTTATTTTGATAGACCCTGTATTTTTCATTTTAGATCAAGGAGCTAAGAAACGTTTGGGAGCACACCAGTATCAATGTTTACAATGCAGATTTAAAGGAACTATATGCTAAGTTTGTTTAACTTTGATGTGTTGGAAATAATTGGAAGGTCAAACTAAATTTGAAGAGGTACTGGAGTGGCTAAACTAACGGCACTTTCCAATTAGATTTCTCATCCTAAAAGCTACCGTCAGGACAGCTTTAGACTTAATTCCAGAGCAAGCAAAGGAGATAAGCCTATTTAAACCAGACACTGTATGCCCAGGTGGGAGGCAAAGGTGTATCTATTAAAATGCTGAAATACATAGTGGAAAGCAATAGCGGGTGGGGATTGATGGGGCAGCCTCCTACTTTGAGGAATGTGAAAATTACACTAATGACCAGGCTAGCTGTATGCAGTACTTAGGGTATGTTAATACTGCCCTGACTACCTTTCAAATATTCTCTTGAATGCACCTGCTTTGTTATGGTTATACCCAGCAGTTTTGCATTTAAATTTTTTAACCTCTTTTTCTCTGTGTGTGGCTTCTCACCACTTCTCTTTGCGACTGGTTTCTTTTTTATAAAAGCAGACTTAGAAAATGATGGTTTGGTGAAAATAGTGGGGAATGTAATTACTAAGTCATTTCACAGTTACTTAGATATTCTTTGTTTCGGGGTTAGAATAGGTCTTACTAGAAGCCTTTGCCCAAATTTAGTAAGGGGTAGCTTCAATTAAGAGAAAGGAAGGGATGCTGCATTATTTCCCAAAGACTTCATGTAAAAGCCTTACAGACAACTGGCTGTTTAAATCTAAGATAAAAATGACCAAAGTCATTTCCATCAGAGTGATAACAGGTAGATGACATACATCATTTGGGGATTTTTATTTGATAGTACCTGATACAGAGCAAATCTTATATGGCTTCAGAGAGCGGACCTTAATGTGGTTATGAAAATTCCACAACCAGAAGTCCTCCCCTAAGAAATAAAAGTTACGGAGATGAGAAGAACAGCAGCAGTAAATACAAATTTAAAATACGAGACACTATAATACATTTAAGATGTATTAAAGTAATTTTTTACATTAAGTTTATTTTTCCGGAACCCTAGGTAGAATTCAAGTAAAAATAAGTTCAGTTAACTCAAGAGGTTATTTTATAAGGAGCATATACTTATTATGTAATGTGTATAATATATATGAAATGGTGTGTAGAAGGACTGGGAATCTCAGTACCAATAAAAAAAAAAGCAGATTAGCTCTTTCATTGTACTTGCTAGCTCATTTTTGACTGGAACAAATGGTAGTTTCTTCAAAGAGAACATTAAATTTAATTCCTTGTAAGAAAATCAAGTGTTTTCATACTCCCCTGAGTGATTACTAAAGCAGTTATTCAACCACATTATGTTATGGTATTGATCCAGAGACCATGAAGAAAGATTCATAGTAATAGAATTTTTAGCGAGAGGAAGAGCCTATAACTGTTTATTCCTGGGGTAGAGACGGGGGTAGGGTAGGAATTCTGTGGGAATGTATATTCATTTGTTTCACAAAACAAAACTGTGCTAAGAGAAACTATAAACAAGTGAAGTCATTGCACCTGTGCTCATTTACGTTGTTTCTTCTCAATTAAAAAATATAATCAAAAGATTAAAAAGGAGCCTTCCACCTCCATATGAATGGTTATAGCAACCATAGAATGTAAGTTCTTTTTGGTCTGGAGTTCTTAGACTATTGTTAGTCTTAGCCGGATACAAGTACTGCCTAGTAAATACAATAACCCATTTTCCACTTTCTTTACTGCTTGAGTCATATACTGTCAAACCATTGTAATGTCAGAGTCTACCTTGATACCTAATTTGGTTTAATGTTTAAGCCAACCTGAGTAAAAGTTCTCATTGCTTGCTAGTGTTCATATTTGTTGGTTTCAGTAGTATAGGAGAATGAATGGAACTATCTGTGCTTTTATTTTAGTCTTAGTTAAAATCTTCTTTCCTTTATGACCTTTTCCTTCAATCTTTGTTTCTTCCCTCACCCAAAAAGAAACAGACTGACAGATAGAAAGCTTCCATCCAAGAATGCTTTGTGACCTTCCCAAGAGAAGTCATCTCAGCAGACCTCTCTTTGATCTTCAGTGAGAGATTCCTCAATCAGAGGAGATTCTCTTAATCAGAGAGAGTAGTTTTGAACTAATAGTATTGAGTTGTGGGAAACTGGACAATTGAATTTCAGCAGTAGGGAGTTTAGTTTGTGATTATTTAGCTTTATCATCTGTTTAATTGGTTGTTTTGTTATTTGTGAGGATATGTTAAAAGTTTATTACTGTTTCTTTGACTCATCTTAATTTGTAAAAAAAAAAGTGGTATCTGTCTATAATTATAGGTTAGACATGATAAATTTATGAACCACAGTGTAATCTAACTCATTTCCAAGCTATGGGCACCAAATTAAAAACAGCTATTAGAATTTTTATGATAACCAATAGGAATTACATTGATACATTTTTTTCATTCTAGGTATGTTGATAAAGTTACCTAAGTACTTTATAAATCAGCCTAATGTATTTTTTTCTGTCTGGCCAGAAACTTGTTAAAGACATTGAAGTATATTTAAAGCCTAAATTATTCCTATTTTACAGCAAAATGACTTAGGGATCAGTTTCTTAATGTGTTTGAATGTTTAAGAGGTTGAACTAAGAAACAGCATGATACATTGGAAGGAGAAAAGGCTTTAGACTCAGAGAGACCTAGGTATCTATTTTGGCTTTGTCACCACACCAGCTGGCTTACCCTGGGAAAGTTACTTAGGTCTTAAAGCTCTCCATTCTCTTCATTTGTAAAATAAGACTATATACCTCACAGGATTATATAAGGAATAAATGAAGCAATTTGAGCAAAGCACCAAGCATAGTGACAGCTGCATCCAATTGTTTAATAAATGGTAGCTGCTTATTATTTTAATCACATGAAACAATTTTTTATTGCTGTTTTTTTCTGTACTAGCAGTATTAATCATTTGCTGAATACCATGGCTTCTGACTCCAAAAAGAATACTGTAATTAATTGATTCACACATAGGTAAATTGAGACTTAGTGAGTATAAGTGACTTCCCAAGGTCATACAATGACAAACTTGACCAGTGACCTAGATCGGGTTTTTCAACTCACTACACTTTTCCTCTTTATACCTTTCAGTGGTCCACAAAGGAGCTACAGAGGGCCTTAATAAGGTGCTAGGGAAGGACTGCAAGGACAGTTTTCCAGTCTCCTTTTTTTTTTTTTTTGTCTTTCCTATATACAAGGTTGCTCTCTTATTCTCCTGTCTAACCTAAAGTAGAGCTCTGATTTTTGTTACTCATATGTTCAAACCATTTAGTAGTTTCCCAAGACCTGAATTCAGTTTAGATTTGTCAACCTGTTTTTAGATTCCTGTCACCCCATAATCCATACATGTATCTCCTGTGTCCCAACCAAAGCAGCTTGCTTACTGGCCAAGCACTTACTGATTTGCAGCCTTCAGGTCTTTGTTCCTGCTGTTTCTGTTCCCTAGAATGCTTTCTGTTCCTCATTTTCCAAAACTACCTCTAATGCCATCTTTCAAGAGCCTTTCTCTGAATCCTCCTCCTTGCTACTCTGTCCTTTGAATTCCCGAAGTGCTTGCTTTGTATGTTTTCCTATTACACTAGACTTCTCTCTGATATCACATTATAGGAATTGGCTTGTCTTATCATTTCTACATGTCTATCTTCTTGAT